TCGCAGCCCGATTCGTAACCACTACTCTACCAGAGCTCCTTAGTTACTGTTAAAGTATAAATACATATTATCTTTATTTTCTTTAGGAAAAATACGCCAACAAATACACATGCCCACACTTAATTTTAGGTAATATGTTACAATTGTTTTTATTCAGTAAATCATAAGCAAAACGAGTTTGATTAAGTTTCTAACTGGTCATCACACTCAGTACACAAACACTAGTGAACAAACTGATCACTCTGACAGAACAGCTGTTTTCTCAGAGGAGAAGTTTTCATATTGTTTCAAAATATAACAACATATGAAAAACAAAGACACTAAATTGAAAAAATACTGGATCAAGCTCCTCACGTTTTATAATATGTTAACACAAGAATCATTGATTTAGTAACTAAAGACACAGATAAATAAACTATGTAACTTATGTCACATATTATTGTTGCTGCTATTAAGAGCCTTTCAGTTGGTCCTGAATCATAGTGACCCTGCATAGAATTTCCAAGGCTGTAAATCTTTGTTGGAGCAGAAAGCCTCATCTTTCTGCCTTGGAGTGGCTGGTGGACTGAAACCACCGCTCTCGTGGTTAGCAGTCTAGTGCTATCCTACAGAGCCATCAAACTATCACACATTACAGGTTTCCAAAATCCAACTCCCATTACTCCTTGCAATAAAACTTTATACCTAAAAATTATTAAAATAATGTACTACTGATGATGCTATATCATAGCTGTTTTTTAATGATGTTATTCTGCAATGCTTTCTTTCCAGATGATGATTGAGACGCTAATTTAAAAAAAAAATGGTGCTAGGTACCACAACAGTAACAGAACTTTGCTGGGGTTTTTTGGTTTTGTTTTATAATTTTTCTTTTATTTCTTTTTTTAATGAAGTGTGCTGGATGCCTCTATAATTTTGTTCAGATAACTGAAGACCCCAAAAAAGCTGTTGCTGCTACTGATGTGAATGATCTTTATACATACACATATATATGCCATAATACTGCGATTGGTCGTTGTACACATATATATATATATGTCAACACTGGACTGGTAACCACAAGACTGGTGGTTCAAACCAACCAGCCGCTCCTTGGAAACCCTAAACAGGGTTGCTATGAGTCAGCACTGACTCAACAGCACTTAACAACAACATATATACATATATATGTAATTTGAGAAACTTCAGCTGTGCTGTCAACTTTGGAAAAAACATCCCAGTTGTACCACGTTGAATTGGCATTGTACAGAAATTAATAGCTGTATTGATCTAAGAATATTGGTCTAGAAATGTTAAACTTCGTATTTCCATTTGTACAAGTGTAGTGCACTGCATTAAATAAGTAAGGTCTTATCTTCATGGATTTGATTACAGAAACTAATAAAGTATTCTTTAAATAATGAAAATAATTAAAATTAAATGCATATAATTTATACATACATGTTGTTTTTGTTGTGTGCAATCGAGTAGGTTACAATTCATAGTGACCCTGAAGAGTGTTCAGAATGCAGTGCTTATCCTACAGCACCATACCAGGGCTCAATTATACATATAGATAGATAGTAGATATACAGACAATACACATACATGAGGTGGCTTCAGAAAGTTTATGGAAAATGGAATTAAAAGAGAATATAATTTTTCCCTGAACCTTTTGAAGGTCCCTCATATATATGTATAACAAATTCAAATATATGTATAACAATAATAAGTAAAGTATATGCTAAAACTTCACCAGAAAGTGCAGCAAACATGAGGGCTGTATATCCATGTTCATGTTGATGACAATTTACATCAGCTCCATGTCGCAAAAGTAATTTACACATGTCGAGCTTTCCTTTATATGCAGCATGCATTAGAGGAGTCATTCCATTCTTTAATAGAAAGGAAAATGTATTAACTTTACTTAGTTACTCTTCCCCTACCTCTGTTCCTATAATTTAATTTAAAACATAAAAATGAATTAATAAGATCATCTTGATAATTTGAGTAATAATGCTATATTCAGTTTTCCTACTTGGAGTTTATGGACATATAAACTACAGAGGAAAAGGCAGTTTTAATACCTGAGATTTTTCTATAAATCAACAATCATATTCAGTCAACAAACTTGCTCAATCTTACATGAGATGCACATGGTCAGGGCGGGGACCAGAACATAGATTTTCTAGGGTTCTCATCTCTACCAAGCATACTTAGCTTCTCAAAAACAAAACAAAACAAAAAATACATATATATAAGTGGGGGGGGGGGGTGAGTCCCTCAAAACATATAGAATGACTATTAAGGAGAAATTTGAATAAAGCAAAATTTATCATTACACAGAATTTTATGAAGCTATTAAGTAAATGCATTCATTTCTATCTATCGAATTGGAGAAATTTCCACAAATTACTACCAATCAGTAATATAAGGCTTAGGAATTTTATATTATAATGGTCTCACTTTTTCAAAAGAATGATTTAAAAAAATTCACATACATAAGATAAATATTATCTTTTATAATATTTGATAAATATTATCATTTATAGTGTACAATTATACATAAATTATATAATAAGATTGTAGCTGGTTACTTAACCAATGTGTTACCAAGGCTCCTTTGAGGATTATTTGTTGATGCTATTAGGTGCCATAAAGTCAGGTCCAAATGATATCTGCCATAGGATTATAGGCGGGCTTTAATGTAGGCTGTTGTATAGGAGACAACTTAAAGGAGAAGTCAAAGTTTCTTGAGAATAGTAATGGAAAAAGGATAATGACTTTGAGATTCCTTTTTGGGGTGGCTCATGGATGGGATGTTCTTTTTGGGAGGAGTGGATGGGTATGGGTAATCATCTTACTGTACAGAGGCAGTCAAGGGATGGCTTTCAGGGAGCAGGAATAGACTGTCTATTCTATTTAGGGCTTTAGCTCTGGAGAACAAAAATGAACTCAGAGCATGAGTGGTGTGATAGCCCCTTGTCAGTAAGATAACCTCTAAGAGGCTAGCATGTAGGTTACAGAGAAAGAACATAGCCCCAAAGAAGCAAACAATTTTTGTTATAAATTTATGAAAGTTCAACATTTTCTATTCATCCAGAACAGATGGACTGTCAAATAGGTCAAGCAGCCAACAATCCCATCCAACAGGTAGACATTATCTAGTTATATGAATGACTGTAAAAGTGTCCTCTGGTTTAAAAAGCTTTCAACCTAATGTAACAACATGCTTATGAGCAAAGGAGATGTACAAAGCTTTTAGATCTTACATTGCAAACTGTCCTTGTTTTCTTATGTCTATGTTTAAACTGTCTTCTTTAGTAATCACTTCTGCCCCTGTACCTGTCTACACACCTCTATTTCCTGTACTCGCTTTCCTTGTTCTTTTTCTGACCTATTCTTATTTTTTATATATTATATATTCTCATATGAAATAAAAGTTATTCAATTTTAAAAAAAAAAAAAAACTTTACCTCATCTAGACAGTTGACACGAACATCCTTGTTAGCTAACAGTGTTCCAGCTTCTTGCACAGTGCCTTTAAAAAAAAAAAAAAAATGCAAATTAAAATGCAAACCCTGTACAGGGTTTCCGAGGCTGTAAATCTTTACGGGAGCAGAAAGCCTTATCTTTCTCCCACAGAATAGCTGATAGTTTTCAACTGCTGTCCCTGAGGTTTGCAGCCTGATTCGTGACCACTACACTACTAGATAGAACAGGCAAAAAAAAAAAAAAAAAAAATCCAAGTACCTGGGGAAGATGATTACAGAAAGTTTGTAAATAAGCCAAGCCATCAGGGTAAATTCTTATCTAAGACTGAAGCTCAAAAGGAACACATGAATGGTCCTGTATAGTCCATGACAACTGTCCTGGACAACTTATGAATAGGAGGTGGGTAACTGCAGCAAAGAAGACATGGGCTGAGATTTGCCATATTCCATGGATGCCTGATGACCTCAGAATGAGACAAAGAATAGGATGCACTGCCGGATTTGAAGTTGAAGGTGATATGTGAACTCCTAAGCCCAAAGACAATGACCTTGCCACTGAAGGCTAAGGTCAAGAATGAAGCAGCCACAGGATCTGAAGAAGGGGGAGGCATGTGAGAACTCCCGGGTTTGCAGACAATACCCATTGGACATGGCATGGATGGCTTGTAAAGTATTCGACCTGATGAATTGGACATGGCATGGATGGAATGTAAGAATTTGACCTGATGAAGATAAAAATGTATGACACAGGGAGCAAGCATAAATTGCTATGACCTGATCAACTAGACTCTTGATTATGGATGAGGCTCAACATTCCAGCTAAACAGGGAAGGATTCTCCATATCATGGAGAGTCTATGGCCATATTACCCTGCATGCGCCTGATCTCTTCTGACCTCAGAAGCTAAGCAGGGTTAGGCCTGGTTAGTACTTGGATGGGAGACTGCCAGGGAATACTAGGTGCTCTAGGTCATCTATTTTTGGAGTCCTGATGTGGTGCTATGGGTTAATGTGCTGGACTGCAAAGTTGGTTTGAACTGCCAGGTCGGCAAGTCAAACTCACCAGCTACTCCTCAGAAATCCTATACAGGGTCGCTATGGGTCAGAACCTATTCAACAACACTTAACAATTCCATATCAAGGATAAAGATGTCTCCTCAGTACACTGAGCTGACAGGGATAAGCAACTTTGATTTCAGCTACCAAATTTGGGGTTCAATAAGTGGCTGGCTTACAAGTTTTCATTAGGGTGCTTAGCGTGAGAACACAGGGAGTAAGACAGAAACCCAACTGAATAATTATCCTTCTGTCCAGGTGGGTCTGGTGATGAGGAGGATAAGACTTTACAATACAATTGAGAGTAACTGTTTTCAGCTCTAATGGCGATTGTCACAACTAAATGAAGAAGAGGTGCAACTAAAAAGGGGAGCAATAATTTATCATCTCAGGAACAGGGGGCCCTAGGACCATCAAGAGGGAAGAACATGAGAGGAGAAAGGGATCCTGACTAGCAAAGTGGCAGCAGTAGAGATGATGGTGGAGGTGATGGCATAGAGAGACAGAACAGCAGCGGACTTTAGGCCCATGGACTGGGAAAAGCAGTGAGCCTGTGGCTGGACAGGAGGCTGGCTTACAAAATGTGCCCTTTGGACATTTAAACAAATATATATTTACAATGTGGTATGGTATGTGTACTCCAAAAAAAAAAACATTAGGGTAATAGAGGTATATACTGTTGGCTAAGGGTACATGGAAGATCTTGTAATCATTACAATGATCTGCTGAAGGTAAAAAAAAAAAAAAAGTTTATCCTAAAACTAGTCTGGCTAGGTTGCTTGACCTAGCACACTCCAAGTGTAAATCTGACGGCCAGGTGTCTGTAAATTTAGAAATAAGCTGTAATTTGGATACAACTGTCAGGTTTCTCCAGTCTTCTGTAAAAAAAAACAAGTTGTTAAGAGAGAAAATGTTGCTATTATCATAATTAATAAAAACCAGCTACATGTTCTGCCAAAAAAATTTTCTAGTTTGACAGGCAAAATCACACTGAAATTGCATGTTTTTATGGAGAGAGGGTGAGATAAACCTCTCTCCTCTTAAAGGGCATAAAGAACAGAACACCCCACCCTCCAATCAGGAGTCATTTCGTCTCTAAATTTAGAAATAGAATTCAATGTATTCAACTAGCTCAATTCTGCTAGTCTTCTAGAATTAAAGGTGGGCTAGAGAACACAGATTACTATGTGCCGTTGTTCCCTGATCTCTTTTCTAAGGCAATCACTTGAGTGCCTTGCACCAAAGGAGGAAAGACAGGGAAATGTCTTCCAGAGACAGAAACAATGCTGCTGGGGAAATGTCAAGTGAATGATCTACAATTTGTGATGTGGTGAGAAGAACCAGATAATGCACTAGACCACAAGTACACTAACCCTGTCAACGGTTCAAACCCACTAGCTGCTCTTCAGAAATCCTACACATGGTCGTTATGAGTTGGAACCAATTTTAAGGCACTTGTGGCACTGTGGGTTAATGCACTGGACTGCAAAGTCGGTTTGAACCACAAGATCAGCAGTTCAATCTCACCAGCCGCTCCTCAGAAAATTACACAGGGTCGTTATGGGTTGGAACCTACTTGATGACACTTAACAACAACAATTGGCACTGTAGGATAAACACTTAACCATAAGGTCGGTTTGAACCACAAGGCTGATGGCTCAAACCTACCAGCAGCTCCTTGGAAACCCTATAAAGTGTCTCTATGTGTTGGAACTGACTTAACAACACTTAACAACAAAAACATTTTTATAAATACAAAGGGGCTTCAAAAAGTTTGTGGAACACAGAAATGGGAAATAATGGAATTTTCCCACAAACTTTGTGAAGCCCCTTCATAGTACATTTTCTGCAACTACACTCCACATGAGGGTAGTTGGCATCACTAGCTTTATGGCTTCGAGCATATAAACAACTGTGGCTTCTCATCAGAGACTGTCTCAAACATCTTTAGAGAGGAATTGAAAGAGAATCAAAAACTTCTGCACCAATTGCACATGAAGATGTCTGCATCACCTGAATTCCATTACCACTGAGGAATAAATGAAGTTAATTTCCATCTAGTCAGAAGATGTTATGCAGTACATCTTTACAGGCGCAGAAAGCCTCAGTTTGTAAAGGGAGAATGGTGATGGTGGTGGTGTGTCGTAGAGTCGGTTCCAACTGGTAGCAACCTGTGCACGGTTTCTGAGACTTAGAGGAGCAGAAAGCCTCATCTTTCTCCCATGGAACGATTGGTAGCTCAGAACTACTGACCCTGAGGTTAGCAGCCCGACTTGTAACCACTATGCTACCAGAGCAACAGGGCAATCCCTAATATGTTTTTAGGAAAGGAAAAAATGTTAAACATCTGGCTTACATAAGATAAAAGACTGTCAATAATTCTATAAACTATTTAGTTCACAGCCAACAATCTAACAAATCTATCATATATAAAATTTAAAAAAACAAAGAGGTAAATGTATTTGTACATACATGCACACACAGCACACTCAGTGGATTAAGGTTCCCCTTTTGCAATGACCTAACAGACAAGGGACTAATCTCTAAAATTGACAGAAAACTCTAACACCTCAAAAAGAAAAAGACATATAATCCAAATAAAAAACAGGCAGAGGACAGGGACAGACATACCTCACCAAAGAAGACATTCACCAACAAACATGAAGCAAGGCTATTATTAGCCATTGCTGTTATATACCATCGAGTTGGTTCTGATTCTTAGCAACCTTGTACAGGGTTTCCAAGGTGCTGCTAGAACCATCGACCTTGTAATTAGCAGTCCAGTGCTTATCCTATAGTACCAGAGATATGCGAATCAAAACAAAACAGAAAAAAAACAAATGCTGGTAAAATGGTACAATCCCTGTGGAAAACAGCCTGGTGCTTCCTCAAAAAGATGGAAAGATAAATAAATGCTGTATGACCCAGCAATCTCTCTATTTGGTATATATTCTCAAGAAATAAACCATGACACAAACAGATTCATGCACATCTACGTTCAATTGAGCATTAGTCACAACATCAATGGAAGAATGGATAAACTAACTAGTACATACACACAATGGAATACTATGCAACACTGAAGAAGAATGATCAATCTGTGAAACCCCTCATAATATGAATGAACCTGGAGAGCATTATATTGAGTGAAATTAGTCAATCACATAAGGGCAAACACATTCTAAGGCTATTAGTGTTAAAAGTCAAGAAAAGGTTTTCATGCTAAAAGAAGCATTCTTTGTTGGTTACAGGAGTGGGAGGGAAAGGAGAGTAATTAACTGGCTATATGGTAAACACATGTTAACTCTGGTGACAGGAAAGGCAATATACACAACAGGTTTATTGGCAAAAACACAGTGAGGACAGGAGATGACACAAGGAGTACAAAAGTTAAATGGAATAGAGATAAACACTGTTGTATACACAACCCTGGCAACAATACTGATACATGGAGATACACTTGCTGAATGCAAATGGAGCAGAAAGTGGGAGTACACCACAAATATATAAAAGTTTGACAAGAAATCTTTTTACGTGGGAGTCCCACTGTGACACTGTAGGATGAGAACTGGACTGCTAACAACGTCAGTGGTTAAAACCTATTAGCTGCTCCTTGGAAACACTATACATGGTTGCCTTGAGTTGGAATCAATTCAACGACACTTAACAACTACAAAAATTGTGCCTCGGCATTTATAAATAGGAATCAAATTAACTACAACTGTGGGAAGAGATGGTGGAAAAGCTTAATATCATCTGCCAAAACCTGGCCAGGGCAGACTGTGAAACAGACAATCAATTGCTCATGTTAAGTTAAGACTGAAGCTAAAGAAAATTAAAACAAGTTTATAACAGGTAAAATATGACCTTGAACATGTCCCAAATGAATTTAGAGACCATCTCAAGAACAGATACATTAGACACTAATGACCAAGACCAAAAGATCCATGAAATGGCATCTAGAACATCATAATGGAAGAAAGCAAAAAGTC